GTAGCAAGGTTAGAATCCGTTCGTTTCTTGCTGGCAATTGCAGCACATCACTCTTGGGAGGTTCACCATATGGACGTAAAGTCTGCTTTCCTTAACGGAGAGTTGAAGGAGACCGTCTATGTTCGACAACCACCTGGCTTCCTGGATAACGACAACCCTAGTAAGGTACTGCGCCTGCACAAAGCACTCTACGGGCTTCGACAAGCCCCACGAGCCTGGAACGCGAAGCTCGACAGTACCCTACTGTCACTGAATTTCAAACGTTGTGCCTCTGAGCATGGCATGTACACGTACGGCCACGGCAAAAAGCGACTGATCGTGGGAGTGTACGTCGACGACCTCATAATCACTGGAGGTGACGTGGGAGTCCTCGGAAGGTTCAAGAAGGAGATGTCGAAAAACTTCGAGATGAGCGATCTCGGTGTGCTCAGCTACTACCTCGGCATCGAAGTGCAACAGAACTCTTCCAGCATCTCCATCTGCCAAAGTGCATACGCGAGGAAGCTGCTGGACATAACTGGGCTTGTGGACAGTAATCCTACCAGGACGCCAATGGAGGCCCGACTTCAACTAAGGAAGGCCGGCACTACGACGACAGTCGACTCCACCAATTACCGCAGCATTGTCGGGAGTCTGCGCTATCTGGTAAACTCTCGTCCTGATCTTGCTTATTCTGTTGGCTATGTGAGCAGGTTTATGGAAGCACCTAGGGAGGAGCATCTAGTGGCTGTCAAGCGCATCCTGCGCTATGTAGCCGGAACCAGAGGCTGGGGCGTAAGATACTGCGCTGGGAGCGAAAAGGAGAAACTCAAACTGGTCGGCTACAGCGATAGTGACATGGTCGGTGATGTTGATGATCGTAAGAGCACCAGCGGAATGATCTACTTTCTCTCAGGCGGCGCGATCTGCTAGCAATTAACAAAACAGAAGGTGGTTGCTTTGTCTTCCTGCGAAGCAGAATACATCGCCACTTCGATGGCAGCAACACAAGGGATCTGGCTTGCACGACTAATGGAAGAACTCATCGGGAGGGAAAGCGATCCACCAATGCTATACGTAGACAACAAAGCTACGATCTCCCTGATCAAAAATCCAGTTTTGCACGACCGGAGCAAGCACATAGAAATCAGATTCCACTACATTCGAGAATGTGCAGATCGAGGGCTCATCAAGATTGATTTCATCCGAACAGAGGAACAACTTGGAGACATTTTCACCAAGTCCCTGGCGCGGGTGAAATTCGAAGAACTACGCTCAAAGATCGGAGTTCAAATAATAAGGTACAGCTTTTAGGAGGAGATTGTTAAATAAAAGCCATGGCTTATTTAGTTACATCTTGATTCACGCGAATGGAGAAGCGTGATTCTAGGAGCCATTGTTTTGGCAATTTGGGCGAAGTCTTCGTCCACTCCTCCTTCTATTTTTGTATATTTGTTTTTTCTATTTTTGTAATTAGATTTGTTATTTAAACCGTTCAACTGAAGTAAAATAAAAACATCGAGTCTTCAGCATTATCAGCGAATCTCTCACTCTCTCTCCTTTTACTTCCGCTAATTTTTCCTTCGAAGAAACCTTCGGCCAATTTTTCGTCGACACTGTCTTCCGAATTGCCAGAGTCAACATAAACTAGCCCTTTGGTTTATCAGCGATAAACACAGGATTGACTTGACAAGGGATTTGATTTTTTGGACTGTTTTGGTGTGTTCTTCATTCCAGGGCTTTGGATTCTTTTTGAGTCTCTCAAAAAGTGGCTTGCAGATGGGTTTGATATTTTGAAGGAAATCAGACACATAATTGAGACATCCCAACAACCTTTGTAGTTGGGTCTTATCTGTAATTTGGTCTGGAAAGTTTGAGGCAAACTCAATGAACCTTTGAATGGGTTTAATTAGACCCAAATGAATTTCAAATCCGAGAAAACAGATTTTTGTTTGAAAAAGTTTAATCTTGGGTTTAGACACAACTAAACCGTTTCTTTTGACTGTCGTCAAAAATGTTTGAAGATGCTTAAAGTGTTGATCGATGTTTTGGGAAAAAATCAGAATATCGTCAATATAAACAATTGAAAAGTCTTGAAAAGGATTGAAAATATCATTCATAATCTTTTGAAATTCGGATGGAGCGTTTTTTAGCCCAAATGGCATAACGTTCTATTCGTATTGTTCGAAAGGGACATTAAAAGCCGTTTTGTACTTGTCCTCTTCTGAAATCTGGATTTGCCAAAATCCTGATTTCATGTCAAATTTTGAAAATATTTTTGCATTTGAAATTCTTTGCATTAAATCTGATTTATTTGGAATTGGATATCTAATCCATTCCAACACCTTATTTAAGGGTTTGTAGTTAATTACCAGTCGCGGGACTCCACGTTCCTTTTCTGCCTGGTTGTTGACGTAAAAAGCCGCACATGACCAGGGGCTCTTTGACGGTCTAATAAGACCCTTCTGCAAAAGATCATTGATTTCTGCTTTGCAGAATGTTAGCAATTCTCTATTCATTTGAATAGGTCGGGCCTTCGTATGAATATTTTTCTCCTCGAAACCTTTGATATAAGGAAGATCAACTATGTGTTGTTTCCTATTCCAAAAGGCATTTGGGATATTTGAACAAACTTCTTTTTCTAATTGAGTTTGTAAAGTTTTGATTTTAGACTGGACAGTCTTATTTTGAATTTGTTCTTCTATTCTTTTGAATGAAATTTCTTCTTTCAAAAAGAAATTTGTTTTTCTTTATAATTTAATACATTTATTGATTGAATAATTGTATTCTTTTGAAAGTTATTTATTTAGCTAATCCTTATGGGGGAAAGAAAGTTAAATTTTATCTTCTTTTCTAAGGCTTTTGATTCTAACCCCTTTTCAGTTATTCGAAAAGGATATAATTGAATAATGAGAGGAGTACCTAGGATTAGTTCTTGTCCTAAGTCTTTTACTAAAAGGAAGGAATTTACGAAGCAAATTTCATCATTGCAGACATGAACTTTTGATAGCTTGTAATTAATTTTGAGTTTGTTGTTGTTAGCACCTCTAAGGCCCTCAGTAGTTTTTTCAAAATACTTTGTAGGTATTAGGCCTTCTTGAATGCAATTTTGATCGGCTCCAGTATCTATGAGAGCCTTTAGTGTGAGTTTGAAATCATAAATTTTTAAGGTAACGAGAGCGTACCATTTTTTAAATTGTGAAGTGGTGATGGCTCCAACGAAGGAACTTTGAAAATCCTCTTCATCCAGGTTCGGCTGCGCCGTTTCTTTTTGTGCAGGCAACCTTTCCTGAAGATTGAGAATTTCTTGACGAAGCGTATAAGATTCTGACCTGGTTTCAAATCTCAGCGCCTGTATCTCTTGTTTGAGATTATTAAACTCCCTTTGTAGATCTTGAGTAGTGAGTTCCCTCGGTTTTTCAAATCTCTGGAGAACAGATTGAAGTCTGTAGGGATTTCTTTCCTCCCTTTCAAGTGGCTTAGAGATTGTCATGGCATCTCTAAGTCGTTGAGCAATCTTCTGTTGAATTTCTGGGTCTTGATCTTTTTCTACTACTTCGAGTAGAATTTCTTGATCCTTAGTAAGGACATTTATGCATCCTTCGCACGTTCTTTTTCCTTCTTGTTCTGATTCGTATTCTGTGCTAGAATATGAATCGGATTCTTCTTGGAGTTCGAGGATTTCTCCCTCACTTGATTGCTCTGAGTCGGTTAGGGTCAGTCGTAATAGCTGATTTTTCAGCTCTTGATCTATCTCCAACTCATTGATCTTTCCTCTGATTGGACGGACACTTGTTAGCATAGTGTCCTTCTTCACGACATTTGAAGCAAGTTTGCTTTTTTTTTCCTTTATGGGTTTTCGTAGGAATATACTTCCTTCTTGAATATGTTGGCTTCTGAGACTGCACGGATTTATTCCGATATGTTTCTCTAGGCCTGTATGAATGATAAGGTTTTGGATGCGTCTTAACCTTCTTTCGTCTGGAGGTTGAGGGAGCCTCTATCCCCTTGCATCCATATTGATCGCAAAACCTACCAAACTTTTTTCTGTTTGATATTGAAGAATTGAGCTTGTTTTGAATCTTTGACTCATTACAAAGTCTGAGTCTTTCTTCTATGATGAAGGATGCTATGGATCCGTATGACAGAGTTTGCCATGGAATTGTTCCATTGTACTTTGTCTTAAGACCATCTTTGATCCTCCTTGAGAAGTGTTTTGGTAGTTCATTGACGAAATTCTCTTTCCAGAATTCCAACGAACTATCTGTTCTAATAAGAACTTTGCTGAAATACATGTCTTTGTACCACCTGAAATCACCTAAGGTAGGGCATTTCAGATTCATGAGTATCTCGGCGGATCTCTCCTGGTATTTCAGAGGG